ATTGTACAGTGGCATTAAGTGCCGAAATGTGCACCTCTGCCTACCCCTTCGGGGGTAAAAGGGGGTGATGTTATGTTATATTTTAAGTATTTTTAAGAGGTCAATGTACACATAAATATAATCTTTGGACTAAGTGCGGAAACGGACGTGGGTACATACATACCTACTTACTTTGCACATAGATAAGCGTTTGAAGCTTCAATTAGTAAACAAGTTGCTGAGATAGGGTACTTCTTTCTTAAGGAAACTGAACCGACATGCGACAGGAAGAACCGTGACACGAGACTTTCTCAACGTAATTGGGGACTTTCGTTAATCAAAAATGAATTAATTCGACTGTTCTATACAAGAAAATATTAAAAAATCATCACACACTTTCATTAAATCAGCGCCGTGGGCTCGAGCCTTTGTGCCCGGTCCACGGTATTAAACTGTCATACACCAAGCGGTCACCGGTGACCGCAACCTATTGTTCTATAATTGTATCTGCAAAACCGGTACTCGACGAGTTAAGCTGAGCTCCAGCATTTAGCGCTGCGCACGCACTTTTTTGTGTTTCTAAATATTCTTGTTCTGTGTCGTAGCAAAATAAATGATTTTTCTTTCTTTCTTTCTTTATATCAATTGATTTTATGACCAAGTTATTTTAGTATCTTTCCAGCATTTTTTAAAGAAATAAGTAGGTACATATATTGTTTGACGCTAAATAAACGTGACGTCACAATACACAATCCCATACCTACAAAATTCATACAAAACTGTCGTTTTTGACAGTTCGGAAAAATTAGTGAATTTGACTAGTTGGCAACCCATTAAAAACATCTGGCAAAACGTTCGAAATTCCAAAAAAAAAGGTTAACCGTTGACATATCGCTGAAGTTATGTCAAAATCATCTGATCGAATGACCCTTGGCTAAGAATGACCGCACCTTTCTGTTACACGTACGTATTTCCGTATACCTTAGTCGTTTGTGGGTCAAACTGTGGCATAATGTCATCGTGGCACGCACTCTCTCTTTCATCACAGACGCAGTGTTGTTATAAAGGGCACGGAAAACTATTGAAAAGGCATAAATTGCGGTTTAAATGTGTAAATTACGAAGTGAGGTTTGATTTAATTGAATTTAAATGTTGAATGATGGATAGGCACATGAAGAATAAAAAAATATGTATGTTATTATGAAAAAATATGTTAACTAACAATAGCGTAAACGAGAAAGGAGTTTTTTTTATAAGATGTTCTCAATTTAATTGAACAAGAAGACATTGTGCCGAGTACAAACTACAACTGACTCGATTGACTGAGACTGCCTCGTTGGCCGAGTGGTCGCAAGTGGCAAGTAGGGTAAAGTATTACTGGGTTGTTAAAAAAATCTCAGTAGGTAGTAGTACGGAGTATGGAATTCTGCCCGGTATACGGCAATAGGCTCACCTCCTATTACATGGGACTCATAACATAAATAGTGAAAAGCGGGTGTTGTACAATGGCATAATGTGCACCTCTGCCTACCTCTTCGGGGATAAAAGGCGTGATGATGTTATGTAACAATCTAAAAGTAACTATAAGGTGAAAAACAAGAAGATTGAAAATGTTCCAAATTGTGGATGTTGTGCCATCTAGCGACAAAATGGCAGTTGAGATCATCATCCATCCACCTTAATCATTGTAGGTAGTATATTAAGACTTTGACTGCCAATAAAAAACTGTTGAAGGTAAATCCTCCGCTAACGCCGGTCACCAGTGACCCCCATGGCGTTTAACGTGTTAAGTATAATTTTTAACTATACTTTTTCAACAAAATATGAATAAGATCGTTAAGTTTCTACAAGAATATTTAATGTCGTATTTCAGAATTTTCAGACGGTCTTGTAAATTCAGTATGATAAATGTGTTTTAAATAATGGAATGACAATGACAAATAATCACAAGACAGGGTTTTATAATTCATATTATTCATTTTATAAGAATTTGGTACTCAATGACTAATGCCGGAATACTGAAACGTTACTCAATTTTAAGTCGTGCTCAAATATCGTGCCATCTCTGTTATTTTACAAAGAATTTGTAGAGATAGAACTATACTTAAGCACGACTTAAAATTGCGTTTCAGTATTCCGACATAAGAGCATTTGATTAAAAAAAATATAATACCATGCACCAACAACATTAAAATATACATGA